AACTTTTTTTTCCCCTTTTTTTTCAATTGATTTGATCGGATCATCAGAACATACCAATTTTAAAAAATCTTTTTTTTTTCTTTTCCAAATATTCTAATTCGTGTTTCCACTTGAAGAAATCAAATTTTTGCGGTATATAAATGAAATTATTATTATTATTAAATTACCTTGGATTAGGAGAAGGACAGAAAGTGATGACGTAATCAGCTCCGGCACAAGTAAACGTACTTGTTCCGTCGTCATAAGCATAACTATAAGCTCTCGGACACGCGTTTTTGAAAAACCGCGAGTACTCACTCGGTTTACACGTGTCCGGCGTTCCAAACGCACCGCTACAACAATATTCCGGCGTTCCAAACGCTTCACACGCGCTTTTACAAGCCACTCCTTCAGTTCCCGTATTCGCTACTTTAAGCTGAGTAGGACAAGGACCGTTAAGCTCCGCTACACATCCGGTGATTGTACAGTTTCCGGCGACTCCTCCGGCATCATCGCCGCCTTGTGGAACGATTGCCATCGGGATGTTGTAACCGTCGACGAGAGACACGTCGTAGAAATCGAGATTATTAGATCCGTTTAAGGTGAATTCCGCTAGTGTCGCCGGAGGTGTAGCGCCGGAACCGGAACATTCAACGGCGGAGGAACCGCAGTCACCGGTTACGCAAGTGAATTTTCCGGTGGTTGAGTCTTGTGTGCAGAGAGTACGTCCCCATATACGACCGGACCAAGCAGAGGGGATTGGGATGACACGTGTCTCTGTTGGGTTTAAAGAAAATCCGGTGGTGGGTAAAGGAGCGGTTCCGGCGCCGGAGAGAAGACCAGGCCAGACGGTGTAGCTACACTGGTTAACGATGGTGAAAGTTGTTGAGGAAACTCGATAGATTAAAACAAGAATTTGAAGAAGAAAGAGTGAATTTTGAGATTGACCCATTAGAGCAGATAGTCACCAGAATCTTAAGATATAAACTTTTCAAGTGTTTTTGTGTCGCCGGAGATGTGTTTTTCTCCGGTGACTGTTTCTGCTCTCTTGATGTATAAAGAGTGTAAATGTGTAAGCTTTGTGTATTTATATATGCAAAAAGAGAGAGAATGGTTTTTGGTTTAGGTTTTGGGGATTTTAAAGGGCTTTGAGATTTTTTTTGAGAAAGGTCGGCTTTTCACGTGAACCCATGCCGCCTTTGTCTATGTTAGTCGGCCACTGTGTCGTACATGTTGACGTTATTATTAGTATTTTGTTAATTTTGTTTTTTGATTTTCATATTAGAATATAGTATGTACGAAACTACAGTATTATAAAAGATCATGTTCTTTAATTATTTATTTGTAAGATTCGTGTAATATGACACGATATGGGTTATATATATGATCAGCGTTGATGTCGGTGATCTAAATAAAACTTTGTCTCCTACCTTTTGGCTTAAAATATATATTTATAAAATTTCAGATGATCCATTGCTTGGTTTGTAATTTTGGGAGAGAGCATATCCATCATATATTATTTTGGTTGGTTGGTTAGCGATCACTAACGCAGACTAATTACCAATATATGTTATTATGTAAATGGAAGTAAATCTCTAACAATATCATTTGTCTCAAGTAGATATCAGTTTAAAGAGTCTTGGAACCAACACGTGAACGTCATGTACATTTGCTCTACGGAAGTTTGCCGTGTCGAAGTTTTGCGAAAGGTTGATAAGTAGACCACTTATTAATCATCCTACAAAGTGTTGATATAATATCCAAACGCGGTTTGAGTCAAAATCTATAAAATATCACCAAATCAAGTCTAGTTATCAAACCAAAAAAAGTATTAGATATTTTAATCTAGGGAATTCCCAACGATATAAGTAGACCACTCTAAAGATATTTCATTAATTCCATAGTCTAAAAAGGGGGAACAAACTATTCAATTCGAATTTTTAAAAAAACAGGAAAATTGTACGACCGTCTCAGGTTAAATGATAAATTTCACAAGAGATAATTATAAAATTATAATCAATCGCTTAAAATGTAATAAATACAAAATGTATTGAGAATTAAAGAAGCGGTGAACAGAGAAAAAGAAGACGTATAGCGTGAAGCATTCTTTAGATTCTGCCCTCTTCTCTCTTCCAAGAGACACGGTCTTAATAAGAGTATCTACTCTCCACCCAAGTTGTGTTGTGTCATTGTTAAATTAATTATTAAAAATGATGTTTGCTATTTCGTTAGTATTCAAAACTGGGGAATATATTAGAATCAAAGGTTCAGGAGATGAAACCATTTTATATATATATTTTGAGTTATTATGGGAAAAAGACATAGCGGCTAACGTTGGATAGGAATTTGTAAAGGTGGTTCGTTTTTTTATAAAGAAAAGAGAATTGGTGTTGGGTCAACGGCATTCCAAAGCTTTTAAGTTGTGTGATGTAGAGATATCAACTTGGTTGGTTCATGCTTCTTTCATTGTTACAAGTTTATGTTTTTTTATTTAGATTTATCAAATACTACACTTTGGGTACGTCTAAAGTGTGTTTCCTACTATACAAATTTATCGAGTATTTGAGTTTCTAAGAATTTGATATTCTTCCCAAACATTCAACCACAAATAGCTCATCAACTAGGACGTTGATTGTTTATTTTGTGTGTTTGTTATACATTTTTACATGAAGACTAATCAGACACGATTTCCACATGGAATTCTTTTATTTCCGACCAGTTTAAATGGTATCATGTTTTAAACATATTATAAAACCCAAATGAACGAACTACAAGACTAATGAACATACTGTATTTGCAAAGGAAAAAGTGATTATTTCGATGTAAGGTGATTAGTGGGATTTTGGTTGATTGGATCCAAGGAGATGTGGCTGATATTTAACCTAATCAGGTTTTAATATGTCAGATGATGTAATACTATATTCCAATCAATGATCATTTCGATTCTGTGGCTGTCTGGTCAATAAAAGGTGAACACAAAACTTGGGTTTCCAGTTTCTTCTATTGGGAAGATTCGTCATCAGTCTTGGAATTTTGCTAAGCACGAGTGTTAAGTAGGTTTTTAACTTTAAACCAAACGGGATTAATCTAATCTCCCCAAAACAAACGACCGTGACATTCCCCTTAATGGTTGTGACTGGACAAAGCAGGTAAACAATCAATCAACAGATCAGAGTGAGATTATTACTTACATTCCGTCCACTACACAAGCCTATGTTTAAGACAAAGAACGATAAGGAACCTTGTCAATATTTCATAATTGGTAAAAAAAAAAACCTCGAAATTGTAATATGATTCACATGTTACACGCCAAAGCAGTAAATAATCTTTGGACCCAAAATCATGTCTTACAAAGATTGATCATGTGCAATGAGTGAAAAGATTCGAACTTGGGACATTGTAGTTTGGATGCTTAAATCAAACATTAAAAATAATCTTGTTAATACATCATGCTAAACACTAAAACAACAAAAGATTGGAATTGATCTTGTCCTAAAGTCTCGAATTTGGAACTTCGTAGGTTTGGTACTATAGTCAAACATCAAGTACTAGCAAAACCCACAACAAAAGGACAAGATGACATAAGCAAAAGAACCAAAGTTATATAATAGAGGTCAAAAAAATTCCAAAGTTAACAACACTTAAAAGTTGAAAAAAGAACTACATCCATATCAGAAACCAACTCTAGATTATATAGTTATAACAGAAAAAAAGGACCAAACTTTCTGTATAACACCAAAAGGACCAGGCAAATTCATCATTCCCATCAACAACAAAAAAAGATAATGAAAAAAACGAAGAGAACTCAAAATCCGTTTTTCAATTCTATTTGTTGATTTTGAAGGAAAATCAAATTAAGCAACTGGACATTCCCTTGAAAAGTGACCTTCTTTACCACAACTAAAACACTGGTTCTTGTTGTTACCTCCTCCACCGGATCTTCCTTTCCGGTTACAATCCCTAGCAATGTGACCAGTACCACCACATGAATAGCAACCACCAGATTGTCTCTTATTCACACAATCCCTAGCCATGTGACCAACCCCACCACAAGTATAGCAACCACCACCGCCGCCGCTTCTACTTCCGACGTTTTCCTCCAATTTCTGATCACAATCCCTAGAAAAGTGACCAATCTCACCACAAGTGTAACACTCTACGGATTTTCCGCCGCCGTTTCCTCCCAATTTCTTATTACAATCCCTAGCAAAGTGACCGGTATCACCACAATCGTAACAACCAGCAGGCTCTCCATCGCAATCCTTAGCGATATGACCAGCCTCGCCGCAATTAAAACAACCACCGCGGCGTCTACCACCGTTATTCTCCTTCTTAGGAATAGCACCACCACCAGGAGCAGTAACATCAACGGCTTGAGTCTTACCGTCGTTTCCTTTAGCAACAGCGAATTCGACAGATTCGCCGCTGTTTAAACTTCGGAAACCTTCGGAAACAATGGAGGATTGATGAACGAAAAGCTCTTCTTCGCCTTCATCGGGATTGATGAAACCAAATCCTTTGGAATCGCTGAACCAATTCACTTTTCCGGTAGATCTCACCACAGCAGATTGTTCCTCTAACGCCATTGATCGAAAAAAACAAAAAAAAAGTAGAGATCGAAGTAATTAGGGTTTGTTTTTTGGTTTTGGTGAAAATCTATAGGAGTTGTGTGTGTATATATATATAGAGAAGGAAGAGTTGGGATTAAAAGGAAATTTAGTGAGGAAACCCTAATTAGTGGAATGTAATCAAAACCCTAATTGACTTGTGTTTTAGAATACAGCCGCCTAAAATACTCCAAGGATTTTTAGGAAAACTCTTTGCCACTTAACTTTTTTACTCTTTCGACGTCTGTTATCAGATGTGCACGCGTCCACGCTGACTTTAATCCGTGACCGTACATTTTAGATCTGTTGGAATACTTATCCGTCTGATAAGAATGGGCTTTTATAGTTAACTGGGCTTAAGTGTTTGGTGTATTACACTTTTTTGGTCCAAGATTTTCACTCAGATGGGCCTACTTTGGTTTATGAGGGATTTTTAGGTTGTTTTACCGGTTTATAGAGTCAACGAAGTAAACCGAATCTACATATAATCTTGGTTTATTCAAATTGAAAACTAACCGGAAATGGCATTTCACTCGTTGAATTTTGGTTAAGTTCTCTTATCATGATGAGATAATCTTGTATTGGGTAGTGAAAGTGAGTATAAATGGGTGGGTTTCACATATTTTGGTTCTCTTATCATGAGATAATCTTGTATTGGGTAGGGAGAAATATAGCTGTTGAGAGTTTAGGTTTGGGTGAGTGATCCGAAAACTTCGATTTCAATACTGGAAAATCCTTGAGTTAATGGTTTCTGAATTAAAGCTTCGCCAAACATAAGTATTGCGGTTTGCATCTGAACTCAAAAAAATCTCGTACATTATTAAAGTTCCACGTCGCTAAGGTTAAAGATTCTTGGATAATATATAAGTGTGTGGCAATCTTTTTTCCTTGAGCTTGCTTCTGTAAGTGAGTTAGACACATACTTCTAATATACATTCATAAATACCTAGAAATATATCTACAATATCAATGTTTCATTTTTTTACCAAAATTTCGCTATATATTTTCGCTGAACTTGAAATAAATCGTATTTTCTAAAAATCGAATCCATATTATAACAATATACTGTAAATTATTTTCTCAATAATGCAAAAATGATCAGTACATTAGAAAATATAACAATATACTGTAAATTTTTTTATTAAAAATGTCAATAAATTAATGCTTTTCACAACGACAAACCGTTGTGTGCCAAAAAGCCAATATTGAGAAGAAAAAAAAAACTTTGTACAACTTCTTTGATAAATGATTGGGGT